TAGTTTCATTTATTTAGCACGGCTATAAATATTCCCTAACTTGCTTCATCCCTTCATAATTATCTCTGCTACTTGTTGTAAACCATTCCGTGGGGTGAAGCATCATATTGAGAATCATAATTTTCTAACTGTTGGGTCTTAGGTTTATTTAATAAATAATGCCATAATGATTACCTTCCATTTATAGCCTCTCTTCCCTCATTATGAGTTAAGAGGAAAATGTGTTTATACTGTTTTTTCTAAAAGCCGGGCAAGGTTTTCCAAACTCCCTATGAGCTAAGTATTTATCAGCCACCCTGACTCGTCTTTGCTTTATCTTGCTATATTTTCATGGGCTCTTCGGGTCACCGAGGAAAGGATTTAGCTGCTGTTCTAAGCATGAATTTTCCCATCAACAAATGTCTGAACACTGTGTCTTGTTCTCCACAAAGGCCGAAGCTTCGCAGATCCCTTGCTAACACTTGGCTCATTGTAGCCCTCACTGCAGAACTGATTCTGTCCGCAGCTAGAGGAGGAGGAAGAATCCCACGGAACAGAGCACAGCCCTGCAGGCCCAGCCATCTCCAGCCTGATATGCAGGGGCTCTGTGAGCTGGGCCTCTAAACCCAGGCCCGGGGCCTGAGAACCACTCTGGCTTGAAGCAGAGCACATGTCGTAGAGTCCTGCCATCGCCCGGGCGGTGGAAGGGCCTAGTCCAAGTGGGGCAGGGGAGGGGCAGCTGAGAGGCTGCAATGGGGAGTCACTCGGACCCCCAGATCAAGGACGGACCCAGAGGCACCTGGCAGAAGCTGTGCCCAGGAGCCTGCCACACAGAGCTAAGGCGATGAAGGAGGCGACACAGCCCTGCTGGAGACCCCGACTGAGGCAGAGAAGGATGGACATGGGCTTCATTTGCAGCCTCTAGCAAGGCTGAGGCATAGCTCCATGGTACAGGTCCTGCCTGGGTCCCCTGAGGTCAGTCAGGGACAGACATCCACTCATGCACAGCTGTGTTCCTAGTGGTGGGCCGCTCTGTCAGCTTTCCATTACCAGGGCAAAATGCCAAAGGAGGAAAGGTACTTTGGCTCACAGTTTCAGAGGTCACCGTCCATGGTTGACAACTCCGTTGCTTTCAGGCCTGTGGTGAGGCCCAAACGCCACGGTGGAAGGCATGGAGGAGGAAAGCTGCTCACCTCATGGCAGGCTGGAAGCAGATGGAGTGGGGAAGAGCCGAGAGGAGGGGCCAAGGGGAAGATAAAATCCCCAGGATTGCTTCCCCATGATCCACTCCCAGCCAGGCCCCACCTCCTGCTTCCTTCACCTCTCCGTAATGCCACCAACTAACTGTGACCCCACCAGTGGGGTACCCCACCCTGTCCAGGAAGCTGGATAAAGTTAGACACCCTATGACCCAAGCCTCTCCTGGAAGGCCCTCCTCTGGACACATGAGCCTTTGGGGGGCATGGCAGGCCTAAAACACAACATCCTCCTCACTAATTTGAGGCAAAATTGATTCATTAAAGGATGTCAGTAGGCCACGGCATCTCGGGGAGGCCAGAGTCAGACCAGGAGTAGCAGGCACGGGCCCTGGTGAGTTGGGTAGGCAGCTCCCACAGAGGCAGAGCAGGCCCAGGATTCCCCTCAGACCCTGGGCAGGACACTGAGACTGGCCCGTTCCGCAGCTACCCCAGAAGCTTCCGCCTTATGCCACTGGCCACCCCTCTTGGCAGTGGCCTGACCCTCTTCCTGTGCACTCCCGGATTTCACTAGCTCCACGCTTCTGAGGTGCCTCTGGCTGTGTGGCCTGTGGCACCTGCCTGTGTGCAGCCGCAGAAGAGGCTAAAAAGAGCCCTGGCTTCTACTTTGGGGAACGGAGTCTCTGTGTGCCACAGCTACGGAAACGCTCAACCTCGGTGCGCTGCTCCTTGTTTGCAGTGTTGCTACACCCCTGACCTTGGTGCGAATCAGTGGAGTGGTGGTTCCACCGACACCTGGCCTGTGGCAGGTGAGTGCCTTGGGGCTGTCTGCTCTCTTGGCCATGCCGTAGTTTTATCTCCCACAGGCATCAGGACCATGGTGTGTGTTACCACCCAACTGCAGAGCTAGAGCGAGGCTCAGCCGCCAGCCAGCCTCCTTCCCACCCAGCCCCACACCCTTCCAAGTCCCCAGCAGCTCCACCTGCTAGGAAGATTCCCTTTTTCTAATTGCGGTTGATGTATATTTCTGCAAGGAAATGTTTTTCCAAAAATTCAAAATTAGATAAATAACTATCACAAGAATGTGTTTGATCCACTCCTAGAATCCCAGCACTCCGGGAAGCTGAGATAAGAGGACGGAAAGTTCAAAACAAGCCTGGTAAAATTTAGTGCGATCTTGTCTCAGAATAAAAAAATTTGAAAAGGGCTGGAGGTATAGCTCAGTGCAAAAGCCACGAGTTCAAGCCCCAGTGTGGCAAAAACAAAACCAAAAACCAAAAACCAAACCCCAAGCCTAAAACCCAACAACAACAGCAGACCAGTGGGTAAAGTCAGCCCCGTCTAGGGGCAAGGGTTAGAAGATTCATTCTGGGGAAGAACATTTAAAAATCCTAGTCTTATAACTAAGCTATTAAAACAGCCAGGGTATCTGTCAACAGATGAATGGATGAAGAAAATCATATATGCAGTGGAATATTGCTTAGCCAAAAGGAAGAAGCCAGTCCTGTCACCTGCAGGAAAACAGATGGAACTTGAGACCATCATGCAAAGCAAAATAAGTCAACAAGAAAGTTAAACATCGCACGGTTTCTCCTTATTGAGAAAACCTAAAATAAAATTAAATAAATGAATAAAAAAGAAATGGTAGGAAATAAGAAATCAGTATCTTGGAGATGAGAAAGGAGATGGAAAGAGATGGAAAGAGATTGCAAACAATCAAGATGTTATGTTACATGCCTGTGCCGTTTCTCCAAAACAAACATCCCCACTCTGTATTGCAAACATACATCAATAAAATACAATGAAAAGAATCTACTCTTCAGGGAAGAGCAGGCAGCCAGCCTTCCATTCATCTCCTCTAAGGCTGTGTTCTGGCAGAATCAGGCTGGGTTATTACTGTAATCACCATTAACAGAGCGAGTGTCTCCCTATGTCTTTCCCTGGATGGGTTCTAGGGGTAAAAGATGAATAAGACTTGGTTCTTGCTCTGAAGAAACCCAGAGTCTGGTAAGAAAGGGAAACCTATGAATAGATAATGGGGGTGTAGCTAAGAACTGCAGGAGCAGAGAGGAGAAAATGTGGTGAGACCCTGGGGTGGGGGGAGGCGGGCAGGAAGCACCAGAGCGGCTGAGGCTGCACTTGGCAATCGGAAGGAGGCCCAGGGCTTCTGCGGCTTTTACTGAGAGCCAGTTGGATGCAGTTCTGAGGGACACAGCCGGACAAACAGCACAGTGCGACCAGGCAGTGACAAGGACACAGGTGAAAGAGTTGGAGGACGGATGAGCTTGGAAACTCAGGACCTCTGCGGGGCTGGTGTTCCTTCCGTAGAACGGCCTTTCGGGGTTGTGGAGAGTCTCTTGTCCCTCTCTTCCACCCATTAAAAATATCAATGCAAAACAAAATCGCTCCACAGACCAGGTTTGGTGACTCAGACTTGTAATCCCAGCACTCCAGGAGGCTGAAGCAGGAGGATCGCAAGTTTAAAGCAAAGCCTGAGCAACTCAGTAACTTAGCAAGACCCTCTGTCAAAATGAATTTAAAAAGGGCTGGGAGTGCAGCTCAGTGCGAAGGCCCTGGGTTCGATCCCCAGTACCACAAACAAACAAACTCTCCACACAGGGATTGCACACTGTCCCAGTAGAGGACCGGACGGTAGATGGTTTTCAGACCTCAGTGCACTGATTTCGGCTCCCAGCACTCCGCTCTGCCCCCGCAGTGCAAAAGCAGCCGAGACTGAACTCGCACTGGGACCTAGGCATCCGCAGGTTCTGCATCGCTGGATTCCACCAAGCATGGATTGAGAATATGTTTTCCCATCTGCATCTGTACTGAGCATGCGCAGACTTTTCATGGTGTTATTCCCTAAACAATGAGTGTGACTGATCACACCCATTTACACTGTATAGGTATTGTGTCATCTACAGAGGATTTAACGCTGCCTCTGGACCTGCCTATCTGCAGGATCCTGGGCCAGTTCCCTGGGGACAACTGGAAAGGAGCGTGGCTGGGTACCAATAAAGCTTTATCAACAAAAACTGGCTAAAGCAAACACCAACCTCACTCTATAGGACCAAATCCAAACACCATCATTTACCTCTTAGTTTGTCAGCTGCTTCCCAGTGCACAGTTCAAGCCTGTGTGTTCATGGGTAGGGCGAGGGAGACAAAGGCCACCGAGGAAAGGCAGAGGGCACCCAGGAAGCAAAGTGGGGTGTGGAATGGAGAAGCCGCTTTGTCTGCATGTGGGAAAAGCCACACTGATAGGAGGACAGGCCGCATTCTTCCTCCCCGAGTTCTCCAGCCTGCCAGTCCTGCTGCCTCACTGTGGCTCCATGCTGACTGCCTGCCCCTTGGCCAGCTGCTGCCGGGCAGGAGCTGTATTCCGTCCCTGAGGTGACTGTGCATGCGATAATTTATATTTTGGTGCAAAAGCACCTCCAGCCCCTTCAAGATGAAAGACTCCATATAAAACTGAGTTATGACCCTGCTTACTGGGAGCACCGCTGAGTGTTTCCAAAAGTGGAGTTAAGCCCCTTTGGCACCGGGGGAGGGCTGGCTGTGAAGGATCCTCGGCCATGTCAACAGCCCTAGTTTCTGGTGTTAATTCTGTGGACGATAAATCATTGTCCTCCAAGTCCGAAGGTGGCGTTTGCCAAAGCGAGGAAGATCTCTGACTGGTCCAAGCTGAGGCTGGAGCTCTGGGAGATGAGGAACACACACACACACATGCACACACTCACATATCAGTCTTCCAAGTCACATGCTGCAGAATAGCTATTTCCTTGCCTTGTAACTGCTGATACATTCTCATGACACTGGTTTTCTTTGCTTTTCAATCAAAGATCTGACTTAGTCATGCTCCTTTGTTATTTTTTGTGAAGTGGCTCTTCATGGAGCAAAGGTGTCAACGGGTGTAGCTTTCCCCTGTCCCAAGCCCAGGACTCTGAGGCCAAGCAGCCCTGTTCGGCCCTGAGCTTCTCCTCAGACACTGCTCCACAGAGCACACCAACCTGGCTCTTTAAAGAAAAGATCGTGTCTGTCTTACTCCTGCGGGATTTTCCACGTTTATGTGACCTCTAGTTCAGGAAGGGTGGGTTGGAGGGCTCTCTGCATCTCCCAAACTCTTCCGTCAGGGGCCAGCACTGCACTCACTGGAGGTGGACGGGGCTCCTGCTGCCAGCCTACTCAGTACCATCTCCCTCCTGACGGGAACCTTGTGGTTAAAATAACAGCCTCTGTTCAGAGCTCAACTTAGAGCTGCTTTCCGAGACAGACTGCGGATCTAAAAACTCAGCAGGAGCATCCACGTTGCTTTTGGAAAATTCAGTGTTTTGGCCTCCCAGGAAGAAATCAGGGATCTCCTCAGGTAAATGTTTTCTTCCCTTTCTTCATTGTTCTGTCAAAAAACTGATGAAGAAAATTGGGTCAGTGAGCTTTGGAGGGAGCCAGCTGCTTTCTGGCCTTTTCCTGGTTCTTTCTCTGAAAGAGGAGTAGGGAGAGGGCAGAAGAAAGGCGGGAGAGGAGAGGAAGCTGAAGGTGTGTTCTCTGTGGAGAGAGGGCTGGTGTCTGTGGAGGGAGGGACATGTTGCCTGGGTGCAGCCCTGTGGCCCCTGGCCTGTGCCTGAGGTATGCGCGGTGGGGACCCAGGGTCCCACTGGCTTGCTGGCTTTATCTCTGTCCCACACGGTAGTGCTGGGCTGGAACCCTGGGCGGCTCACCTTGCCCGCCCAGAGTGGCTCCAGCGTGGTGTGGATCCTTTATTGTTACTGAAGAAAACTAAGCCGGGTCTCCCTGCTTCCGCTTCCTGCCTCTCTTCAAGCGCCTGGGTGCTGCTCTGTCTGTCTGTCTGTTGCTCTGTCTGTCTGTCTGTCTCTGTTCCACAATTTCCTCTACTGTCTGTTTTCATAGTTTGTAAACTCACACCATTCTCCAGTGATAGATTGCAGAATTTGTCCGAAGTCTGTTTTAAAATGTGTTAACATTTTCTTTGAATATCAATGAAAATAACTATGATCTTCTGAAAGAAAAGAAGGATGCATTTGCCGAGGGAGCCATTTGTTTGGAAAAGCTTGCCACCTTGCTGGGTCTTTCTTGACTGTGTAAGTTTTTCTGTTTGTAAACATTGTGCCTGTGAAATCTCTTTACATCTCATTATGGCCAATCTATAACTTTTCTTCTGAGTGACTGTTATTATTTTTAAAGTTTTCATTCGAACAGAATTTGATTCCTATTTAATGATAAGCCAGGCCAATCAGCTAATGACCCAGTGGTTAGTCCAACATTCATTCAAGATGTGCTCTGCAGCCGGGCCGTCTACAGGGCTGGGGCAGGCTGTGTCAGAAGGTCAGCACCAACCCTGGTGCCTGTCAGGTACCGGGACTCCCACCTCCGCGGGTCAGGCAGGAGGACTTGCAGTGCTGACTTCCAGGCTTCGGTGGGGTGGGACTGAGGTGGCAGTGCGACTGTTGCAGGACCAACATGGACAGCCCCTTGTGCTCCAGGTAGCACACTGAGTATTTGCAGTCTTCTCATTGTATTCTCCACAGCCCTCGTTTTACACACGAGAAAGCTGAGAGGGAAGGAAACAGCCCAGTGTTGTCCACAGCCATAGTCTTACTCATGCTCCAACCTTTAGTCTGAGGCCAAGGCTTGTCGGACAGCAGCATCCAAAAATGTGCCCAAGCAGAAGTGGGCCCTGGGCTGGGGCCAGAAAGGTCATGGGCCATGGAGATGGCAGGAGGAGCAGTTCCGCAGTGAGGGACAAGCAGAAAAGTCTAGATGTCTGGGGGCCACGCAGCCCCACGCCCTGTTGGGAGGCAGGAAGGGAAGCCCTGGGAAAGGAGAGCTAAAGGGCTGGGAGCAGGAGGTGCCACTGTGAGAACAGGAGGGGTGCAGGAGTCCCGCTCAGAGCAGCCTGTGGGCTTCCTGCTCGCTCGCTCACTCGCTCGCTCTCCTGTGGGCTTGGCCTGGTTCATGCCAGCCTCCCATCCCCAGCTCGGGGCTCTCCCACACCTCCCCCCAGCGGCCAGCCTCGCCAACTGAGGAGCACCCTGTGAGCGCCCCGCTGGCTTCCTCTAAACCCTGGCGAAACCCATGTAGCATATGATTTGCCACCTCAGCCTATGTAGAGCAGGTGACTCAGTGGTATTTAAGTATGTTCAGATGCCATGCAGCTGTGACTGCTGTCCAGTTCTAGGCCATTTCATTGTCCAAGTGGAAGCCATGGCCATCGGGCAGCCACTCCCCACTGCTGTCTCCCCGCTCCTGGAAACCACTAAACTGCATTCTCTCTCTGTGGATGTCCCCACATTATATGGAATCACAAATCATGTGGCCTTTTGTGTCTGGCTGGTTTTCCTCAGCGAGGGTCTAATGTCCACCTGCGGTGTGGCACCTGTCAATACTCCCTATGCTTCACGGCTGAATGACATTTCCTTGTATGGATGTATCCCATTGTGTTTATCCACTCATCCGTTGATGATCATTTTGATTGTTTCCACCTTTTTCCTATTGTGAACAGAGCTACAATGAACATTGGTGTGCAAGGTTTTACTTGAGCATATATTTTTAATTCTTTAGGGCATATACTTGGGAGTGGAATTGCTCGATCATATGGTGATTCTATGTTTAACTTTTTAAGGGACTGCCAAACGCTTTTCCACAGCAGCTGCACTGTTTTATACTCCCACCATCCATGGAGGAGTGTTCAATTTCTTTACATCCTTGTGCCAATACTTATTTTCTGTTTTTTTAATAGAGCTAGCCTTGAAGTAGGTGTGAAGCGGTGTCTCACTGTGAGTGTGAATTGCATGTCCCCAGTGACTCATGATGCAGAACATCTCGTGTATCTGCTGGCCCTTTGTCCCATTTCCTTTTTATTCCCTTGTCTGACTCTTTCTCCTTATAGATGTCCTATGACACACCATGCCACATTACACCCGTATTTAAATAAATTCCTTGTTGAACATATTCTTTTAGGGCTACATCACCTCAGCGAGGCAGGAACTCTCTTCTGTTCATTATTGTATCAATACCTAGGACAGTGTTCAGAAATGTAAGATCTCTCTTTCTCCTCTCTCCCTCTCCCTCTCCCTCTTCCTCCCCCTCTCTATTTCTGTTGCTTTCTCACTGCTGAGACAAAATACCCAACACCTAAGGTTAAAGGAGGAAGGTTTATTTGGCTCACAGTTGGGAGAGGTTCAGTCCATAGTGGGCTGGCTCCGAGGCGGGGTGGTGTGGCAGAGGAGCGTGGCAGAGGAGCATGGCAGAGGAGAAAGAGCTCCAGTGCAGCCTCCCAGGCCACACCCACCATGACCCGCCCCTTCCCATCAGACTTCGCCTTACAACATCACACCCAGCAGTAAGCCCATCAGTCGACTGAGCCAATATCACAGACCCACGACCCAGTTGCCTCCCAGGGGGCCCACCTATGAGCACATAGGCTTTGGAAGGGCCTCTGGATATAAGCCATAATGCTTTCTCCCTCTCTCTCTCTAGCTAGCTAGATCTATACATGAACACACATATACACATAAACATGTGCACATACATGGCAGCTGGGCCGTGCATCGGCAGGTGCATACCACACCCCCTCCCCGGCCCAGCTGATGACCTGGACCATATCACCTTTCCACCTCCACACACCATGGGGAGAGGTGACCACCCGGGCCATGGCTCTGAGCGAAAGACAGCCCGTGGGAGGGGGGCAGACCGTGCCCTGGAGACTCTGTAATGATGGCGTCCTTGACGTAGACACTCTCTGAAGCTGCAGTGGCTTCTCGGTCCCATTGTGTGGATTCTGTTCTTCCAGTCATTGCTGCCCCCACTGCGGAGTCTTGGTAAAAAGTGACCTTGGTACACATGGATATGACATCCATCGGAGCAGCTGAGTCTGAGAGCCGGGGCCTGGGCACGAGGAGGGCCAGGTGATGTGCAGAGCCCTCCCCGGCTGTCTGTCCACCACTCTGGCTCCCATCTACAGGGCATTTGGGGCCGAGAGTTCCAAGCTGTGCCTCTCTGCGATTCAGGACAGAAAAGTCTATTCCCAGAACATTCCTGGGCAGCACACTCGTGGGAGCTTCCCAGAGCATGTGATAGTCACTTTTTAAAATGTTGCATGTATGGCAGGGGTCCTTTTATTTCACTGGGAATTTTCTCTTCCCTGGAAGTGTAGGCCGAAATATGGTTTATGAGGAAGGCATTTCATATTTAGGTGGAAGAATTTTGACTTCTGGATGAGAATTTAGTAGCTTAAATTTCTTCCCATGAACTTAGGGGAAATTAGAAGAGGATGATGGCTGCCATCATTTCTTTCTGGCTGTAGACACAACCAGGAAGCTCATGCATGAGAAACAGGTTTCAGTAATGATGGGAGGCTGACTCTACCTAGGCTTCTACTTCCTGTCTGTAGTGCCGTCCTTGCCCGAGCCTCCCCAGTAGAATCATCTCCTCCCCACTGCCAGCAAGGTTGCCAGTCGTACGGATGCAGCCCCGTCCACACTGCTCCCCTTCTAGCTGTAGTAAAGGGGAACCTTCTGAGAGCTACACACACACTACTGCCACTCCGTGACAGCCACCTGCACGGTGCCATTCTTGTCACAAGACAAAGCTCTCGACGTGCTCCTAGAGCACAATCTACAGGTTAAGGAGTCCTGAGTAGAAAAGGGCATTTTTCAGGATAGGGGTACAAGTTTTGTTAAATGGTTCAGCAAAACACAGATACATTAAAAGTTTTCAAGAGATTGTCCTTTAGGCAATTTGAACGCGAATAAGAGTTTTGTTTTCATTTGGAACTGATGGGGCGATGTGTTTCTTTCTTCCCTTCCCATTGTTGTATTGTGATAATTTTATGCATAAGAATAGTAAGAACTTCTAAAAAATGGAAGAATTCCAAGAGATGTAAAGAAACTCGAGAGACTTAAAAATCAAAAAATGTTTCAGAAATGATATAGTCTAATGCTATCTTTTCATTGAATGCATTCAATAGAATATTGTCCTTCTCTTTACTGCTTTATTTTCAGTACTGGGAATTGAACTCAGGCCATTTGCACTGAGCTACATCCCGATCCCTCTTTTTTTGGTACTGGGGATAGAACTTGGGACCTTGCACTTGCAAGGCAGGCGGTGGAACCACTGAGCTAAATCCCAACCCCATTCCTGTCCCTTTTATAGAAACTTTTAGTATGAGACAGAGTCTCACTAAGTTACTAAGTTTCCTGGGCGGGGCTGTTCTGATCCTCCTGTCTCAGCCTCTCAAGAGGGCTGGGATTACAGGCATGTGTCACTACGCTTCACTCCACTCATTTCTAAAATATGTACTAAAATTAACTTTTATCTTAGATAGAAAAACAATATTGTATGTATTAA